AGGTGTTGAGGTAAATTATGTTTCTTAAGGATTTTTGAGGAGTGATCAGGGGAGGAAGCAGTCCAGACTGCTTCTTGAATTTTGGTAGTGAAGGAATGTACTGCATTGTCCAGGTCTTCAGAGGTTTTCAGGGTTACTCTGAGGTCAATTTTATCGGAGAGGATTTGATGAAAGAGTTTCCAGTTAACTGGGCCTCTGATGAAGGACGGAGGAGAGGGTTTAGGAATAGGAGCTAGTGATACTTGGAGTATTAATGGGCTGTGGTCTGAGGAAAGCTCGTCAAGACGGGCAACGGAATGGTTGAGAGCACCTAAACCATTATGGATAAAGAAATCGAGGATATCGGGATTACGGTTAGGATCAGTGGGCCAGTAGGTAGGTGAGTTGGGTGGAAGAAGGGTAAAATTTTGGGAATTGAGTACAGACAGCAATGTTCGACCACGAGAATTCGTGGTTCTTGAACCCCATTGTTGATGCTTGGCGTTTAAGTCTGCACCCAAGATGAAATGATGTCCTAAGGAAATGAGGAAGGAACTAAATTGGATATTGGAGATGGATTGGTTTGGAGGGCAATACGCTGATGCAACGGTAATAGGAAAGGAGAAGGTTTTGATTACGACTGCGGTGGATTGTAGGAAATCGTGTGTAGGCAGTGGGAGTAGGTGATGGGAGAGGGATTGGTGCACAATGACTGCAGTACCGGCATGTGCTCTACCGTCAGGATGGTCGGTACGGTAAGTTATGTATTGTGGTATTTTTAGGAGCTGTTTTTTAGTCAGTCGAGTTTCCGTTATTAGGGCTACGTCTACGTTCTTGTCTTGTAGTAAGGCTGTTAGTTCGTGTATGTGATTTCTAACACCATTCGCATTCCAAAGGAGAATGGATATGGGTTTGATGGAAGTCATTTAAGGATTTTTTAAAGGAGGGATAAGGTGAGATACTAGGTTAGTGAGAAGTGATATCAGTGGGGTAACAAGGGATTTAAATTCTGAAAGAAAGGATGTCAATAAGCTGGTTAGATCTGTAGCATTAGGCGGTGGAGGAACATATTGGATTTGATGTTGGTGAGGTTGTTGTTGATTAGGTACATTAGGTGGGATAGGATATTGAGATTGGGGTTGAGTTTGTTCTTGCGGCAGGGCCTCACATACATTAGTCGGGTCTCTACCCCCAAGTAGCTTGGCAAAAGAAACCTTAGAGTTCACAATTTTAGCGGGTCCTCTTCTTGGTTTAGGTGTATCATCAGGGTCCCTGGGTTTCATATATCTCGCTTTAAGATTTTTATAAATTTGGCAGCCTTTGTAGTTGGCTGGATGGCCTTCCAGGCATAGGGCACAGACTGCTGGTTCTGTAATTGGTTTATTACACTCGCCAGACTTGTGTGTTTTACCACATTTCACGCAGCGTGGTAAGTGGTGGCAATAAGACTTGGTGTGGCCATATGCTTGGCAATTATGGCACTGGATGAACTCTCTTTTTGGGTACGGTTTTTCGACCTTTACGCTGGTGTAGAAAATTCTATTCACATCGTATATTTTTTCGATCCCAGGCGATGGCTCTAGATCGACGAAAAATAAGGGCAATGGGATTTTATTCTTTACACCTGGTTGTTCTTTATTTTCTTTTAAAACATTGGTTATCTGACGTATTTTGAACCCTAACGCCGTTAACTCTTCTTTAATCACTTCTATTGGGGTTGAGGAGTGTAAATTTCTTATTACAACTCGTAGTGCTCTTTCCTGTTTCAACTGGTATGTGTGAAAGTCCGCATTTGTGTCTGTTAAATATTTTACGATTTTTCGGTACGCTTCAGGTGTGGCCGGTATTATTTTTGTATCATTTATTCTGTTTAGGCATGTATAGCTACCTGGGCAGATTTTATTAAGTTGAGTACACAACAACTGGAAATTTCTCAAATTTTTGACAAAGATAGGAGGTGGGCGTGGTTCTCGAGGTATAGGTGCATCTTCCATTTCTTCCCTGTCATTTTCAAGCACCTGGTATGGATTAGGTGTAAAAAATGGAGATTCCATTTCTTGTGAAGACGTACTTGGCAGTGGTTGAGACACAGATACTTGAGTGTTCGCTGGAGGAGTTCCGGGGGGTGTTAATCGCTTACTACGACGTGTTTTCTGTTTAGGCGGTGAATTACGTGGGGTAGAGCCAACTGAATGGGACCTCTTAGTTGACATTACTTGGTGGTAATATCGCATATAAAAAAAAAAGAAAGGGGAAAAAAAATAAAATAAATAAAACTACGTCTGCGTGTTATTACAATGGATGAACCGCCGGCTGAGAACCAGCCAGTTACGTGGCTCAGCCACAACTGGAGAGGGGAGCCGTCAGCTGTTATGGCTATAGAGATTAAGCCTATAGACGCTAAATCACTAAATTCACTGTCTGTAATAGTACACAGTAAATAACAACACTACTCACTGTGGTGTTAGTCCATTGTTGTTGTTTTGATGTCTGCTTAACTAGTTTTTTTTTAAAAAGTAAAACTGAGCACTTATTCTACTAAAAAATAGTAAAACTGTGGGACACGACGTGAAATGTGGGTATTCAAATCAAGCGCATGCGCAGAACTCCCTACTTATACTAGGTTAGAAAAGTGTTGCAATCTGATCAAATTTGCGATAAGCGGTTTTCGATGGATCTATACGTTTCAGAGCCCCCTGAGTCCGAAAAACAAACTTTTAGCCATTGGTCTGTCTGTGCCAAGATTTTCTCGGGAACTACTGAACCGATTTTATTACTTCTTTTTTTTATTTTGTAGGATTTTGACTACTCATGCCTGTGACAGTGTACCATGCGCAATAGCTTGCGCGCAATAAATAAAAAACATGTTTTTCTATAGACTGTAGTGTGAAAACGGCTCTAATGATTTTGATGAAACGTTGCTATAATTTTCTAATAATTGTCCTTTCAATTTTCGTATACCAACTAAATTTCCTAGAAAATTAATGAAAAAAAGTTATAAGGAAAAGAAAAATATTATGGGTCTAACTCCCTAAGTATATATTATACGGTAAAATTTATAATAAAACTTATGAAAGGTAATTAAATTACCAACAACACCTATATTATTAAAGTATTGCAATCGGATCAAATTTCCGATATGCGGTTTTCGACGGATCTATACATTTCAGAGCCCACATAGAGCCTGTTTTTTGAAAGGTAATAATTTTTATATGCTCTAAAAAAGTATATAAAAATCGTTCTTTTAGGACAACTATTAACGAAGTTACAGCTATTCAATTTCCAATGTATGATTACAGGTTCATATCCTGGTGTCAGAAAGGGGTGAATGAGAGAAAAAAGATGACTATGTGAAAGAAAGAAAATAAGTTGCCCGCATCACAAAAGCTTCTTTATTTCCTCTAATTTTAACAGAAATCATTGTTCGACAGTACTAATCTATGGCAAAAAGTTTTTGATCAGCAATATTAGAGAGTAATGACATTTTTACACTGATCTACCTTAAGCCGGTTTACATTGCTTTAGTTTATCAAATAAATCGTACTCAAATATTTTCTTTGATAAATTTTCAGGAAAATAAATCTAGTTCAATTTTTTTTGTTTTTTCGTGAGCATATGTAAAAATATTCTAAAAGAGGTAGGAAAGTCGTGTGAGTGGACACACCAGATGTTTTATTTATCATTTATTCATTTCCATCCATTTTATTAATACAAACGTAATATGAAAGAATAGAGAAACTGACAATAAACTATAGGAAATTGTTCTCATTCTTCTCGGAGAAACGTGACAAAGATCAAATATGGTAAAGTATTCAGATAAAACCGCTAGGGATATGTGCCCAAGAAGTTGGAGAACGCCGACAGCAGAATGGGAAAGTTTAAAACAATATTAACCAGCCACTTTTCGTAAGGTAAAGATTTTCCGAGTAGAAGCACCTACCCAAAGTTTCCGCTTCATCACGGAAATATGAAATGGAAATGGGGGGTCCCCCTTCCTCCTGTTTAGGTTTACATTGGCTTTTATTTTAATTAGAAAAGGTCCGCAGATTGGAGTAATTGCTCAATCGTGATTACCGAAACGAATAAATTTATAACTAAGGCGTATAAATGATGAAGAAAGTTAGAAACCGTTTAACAGCAACTTACTAATGAGCTAATGTTTACAGGCCTAAAAGCCCAATCGATATAGCTTTGACTTGCAAATTTACCAAAAATTATTTCTAAGTGCAATACATATATTTAAAATATTTTGTTTAATTTTAATTTTAAGATACTTTTTCCATATTAGTTAAAAACATATACTTACATAAGAACTTTATTATCATCCTCAGCTCTAAAATACCACTGCCTCAAGATTTGTATTCCACTTTTCTCTTTCCCGACCATCCGTCCTCCAGTTTCAAATTCCAAGAATTTTTCTGTAACTATACGGATTTTTTTCTAGGCCTCGGGAGATGACGGAAGACTGATACCAGAGTTAAAGGCTTTGACAGTATTGGGATTCCAACTTGTAATCTTCGGTTTATCAGGTTGACCGCCAACACATGTTTTAGAGTCCTCGAAAATCCCACCTCCATGCATTTACTCTTTCTATCCATCTCAGCTTCGGTCTTTCCAATCTTTCCACGTTTCTCCATGCTTAGAACTTTTTTGAGGTCTCGTTTATTCGTACAACATGAATACAAAACGTATTTGGATTGAAGGATCATTGTCTTTCTATCTGAATATATATTTCTCCATTAATTGTTCGAGCCTAATGATCTGTTTATGTATGTATCATAAATATAAATAAAATAACTTAAGGATAAGTAAATTAAAAAAAGAAAACTGAGACATACCTATATACACTATTTACAATCAGGCGACGCTTGTTTCAAAAACTTTTTTTTTCGCTCTGTATAATCAGTTACTAACATGCAAATAATACAAAATTAAAATATCCATCATTTATGTATATTGCAGCATATAAAATAATATTTTCCATGCCCAGAATTTCGTCTACATCATTAACGTCCCTTCAGTATTCTCTGTTGCAGACAGCAATTGAGAAATGTCAGAAGAAGAGGCACTGCAAATTGAATCCATCTTCAACCAGTTACGGAACTGACCCTTGCCCTTCCAAACCCAAGCATCTACACGTCATATACACCTGCAGGCCTTGTGAGTATATTTTATTAAAAATTATAAATATAACTAATTTAAACGATAGTTTAAAGTTATGTTGTTAACTTGTGATGATTAGAATTAATATGAGTCATTAGTCAGCGACTCGAAAAACAAATAGGCTGTTTAAGATCAATATATTTTTTATCTATTAATCCAATTATAAAAATAATAACAAACAATAATTAAATATAAAAAAACTATTTAAATAATATATGTTGATCCCTTGGCCGAACAAGAGAAGCCCGTCAGTTTTCAGTCAAAGCAACTTAGACTATCCGGGACACTCCTGTACCTTATAACCATAAAATATCTACCTAAATCGGAACTCCTCATTCCTTTTTTAATGTTCTTTTACTACATTCTTCCAGAACTTCAGGAACCAACAAGAGGTTTCCGTGGTCACTTAGAGAAAAACATTGATCGTCATGATAACATTAACTATGAACAGCCCATGTTCCATAGATCTAGACCGATTTCTCGCTGTCCTTGAACCAATGTTACAATCGCTTAAGAAAATTGTGTTGGTTAATCTCCTGAGGAACATTACTGTTTTATATTTTTTTTTTTCGGTTGATTTTAGAGAACTTGGTCATTTTTTCCTTCTAAGCCAGCCTTCTCCAAATCAGTCTACTACAAACTATCGTTTTCTAGTTTTCTGCATAGAGCTCATAAGCATTGTTGATTATATCTATCCATCAGGTACTTGACCTACCACGTGGCCTACTGCACACATTAATTGTTGGGTAGAAGCTTCCAGATTATTCTGTAAACAATTCTTTATTGTGAGCTTTTCTCTATGCCTTAGCACTTTGAAGGATCGCTCCGATTATTGTTTGAAGAAATTTTCTATAATATATGTTGGTACTTTTTTACTCGAGTGCTGTTTAGTGTCTTAGTCTCGCAGTCATATATCAGGACATGGTTTATCATAGAATTTTACACATAATTTAAGATTTCGAATGATCTTTCAGGATCTCAATATTTTTGAAAGAGACAAGGAAGCTATGTTTCTCCTTTCTATATGCTGACGCGTTCTATACGACCGTTAGTCATTCTAAGAGTTTATTGTGGAGAAGAAATATTTGAATTTGTTTACTGTCGGAAACGATTTCTCCCTACGCAGATTCTGTTGTTGGAATGGAATTTTCGGCTTAATATCATACATTTTGATATATCTTCATTTACTTGTAAGCTGGTTTGCTCAGCTTCTGTTATCAGATTCGTAGCGATCCTCTTGAAGTCCTCTTTGATTTAGTTTATTAATTATTAATATCATATTTTTAGTTGAATCTTTTTTCAAGTATTTCTTATAATTTACATATTTCCTAGGTAGATTTATGAAACATCCTTTTATAGATGAGTTCCGAAGCAAGACAGCCTGCGAGAACGAGATGGTCCAGTTACAGTGCGGCCCCAATTCCAGACTGGCTATCTACTCGGCCTCCTACGGCAGGACTCAATACGAGAGTATGCAGTGCCCTCAGCCCCAAGGGGTGCCTGAAGAGAGTAAGTCAGATATTTCATTACACATTTCTTTTATTAAACAATTACACGCTGAACAGCCTTATTATCTAATAAACCGAAAATTAAATAATCCTTTTATGAAGATTACACGCAGCAAAACGTTATAATTAATTCTTTGCCAAAAATTAAATTCATTGGAGCGATTGTATGATTTGTTTCATGAATTATCGACCTCACTGCACGAATTGAAGTATTAAATGGCCCGCAACTACAACTGAGCTCAAGATTGTTAATTCTCTCAGGATAGAACTGTACCTGGATTCACATAATGTTCGATATTAAATAAAGTACAAAACAAATTAACATCAAAGGAAAGGCTTTAGAGCGGACTAATTTAATGATAATAATTGTAGGTTAATTTGTTGGACCAAAAATTATAATTTATCATTTACTATATTATTATTTTTTTATATAATTTTTTTTTGGATAGATGAAAACCAAAATGAAATTGTTCACATTAAACAACTTTTTTAGACCTACTATTCTTGAAGTGACAAAATGGATTTCGGACCACTAAGCTTGTTAAAACTTTGTTTACGTACAAAGAAATGTCTTCAGTAAAATAATAGAAGTACGGATATATGGAATACGAAAACAAGTATTTTTAAATATATATTATTTTTAGAAAGAACATGATAAAACTTGTCCAATATTTTTGGATGTGGAATCATAAAAATAAATCTCGTGCGCATTTAACTTTCACTTGCCTCTCAACGTTGAATATAAATTATTTTCGGGCAACATTGGGCTATTACAAACACATATACACACACACTATTTTTCGATACTTGGTTATTTGGACTCAGAACCTCAACACGTGTATTTCCTTTGAAAACTCGATTTTGAAAATTTTCACGATCGCAATACTTTATTTTGCTGTATATTTCATATTTAGATAAGGGGAAGTAAAAATTAAATAATTCCATATTTAATCGCTTTACATTAAAGTCTATAGTATATTTTATAAAATAGAAAGGAAATTTAAATTAGACAGAATTTTTTTATTTATTTTACATATTAGATTTTGGTCTGTGTATTTTTAAGATTGTAAATGTAATGAAGTGTAATTTTACTATCACGAATTACGAATACAAAATAAATAAAACATGACAGTATGATCATACATTAGATTATACGTGTAAGATTTAAATATTAAATTTTGGAAGTTTTTCATGCACCATTTATATTTAGATTTTTGATATAATAAGTTTTATTTATTAACTATATTAAGCATTGCAAATTTATTGTTATTGTTATATCTATATATGTTTACTTTGTTTGTGATTTTAGTGCATATATGTATTCAATATATTTATGATCAATAACGATCTAAAGGGTCGGGTAATGCCAGAAAAAAAGTAGATAGTAGGAAAAAAAAAGATAAATAACGAATCAATTAATATTTTGCTTGATTAATGTTTGATTATTGCCTGCTGTTGGACTTATCCTCTGATGGTATTTTACCAAGAGTATTATGCAAGCAGGAATATATGTAAACATTTTTTTTTTTCAATAAATGCATTATATAAAATGACTAAATATTTGCAATATTAATATCGATTTGTTGCTAAATATATTTTCGCTTAGCATATTAGTCCTCAGTCAGTGAAGTTATGAAAAAAATATATTGGTTTCATATTGGACTTCGGTTTCAATATTACAATATATCTAGCTCAAACAAATATATGTTTACATTTACTTAGTGACATACATTTCCTTTACAGGACATATTTATTTAAAAACTGACAGGGAAAAAAAAATCCAATCTGAAAATTGCTGAGTAAGAGAAAATAGTCGGAGCGTTTGATATAGCAGCAGTAGGAGACAGGTGCTGAGGGAGGGGGAGGGGAGAGGGATGTAACGTTGGTTTTGATTGAAAACAGAGTCCACCACCAGCCCTGGGTCAGTTACATTTGTTTGTATCTAGTTCCATTTTTTTTTTTTTCACAAAAACCCTGTAAACTCAGCTTTTTGTAACTGTTTTAATACCGTAAGTGTTTGTTTCAAAAATGTAATGAATTAGTTTGTACTTCCATTAAATACCTAGCAAATAAAAAAAATAAATTAATTAATAAAAATAACCCTTTTATGTCTAAACCTATATATTTTTTTTTCATTTGGGTTTGTGGAAAAAAATTTACGATTTAGTTAAGCGTCCAATTTTATTTATCCTTAATCATACAGTTGCTTACTTTTGATCTCTTTTCCAGCCCGAGAGAATAAAAAGAGTTTAAAATAAAATCGTTACTTTTATTTTTAATCGATTTCGTCTGGGCATTTTTCTCGTATTTCAGAAAACTGTGACTTACATTGGAGCTTTTTAATTAAAAGTTTTATAAAAATCTTATTTCTAAAAAAAACTATTCAGAAGTTCTTCAAAATGTGCTTAAATTCCTAGCGACAAAAAAAAGAAAAAAAAACGCTCATTAAAATTAAATAATTAATTCATAATGAATTGTAACTCCAATATAAGCACGATTACACTTTATTTCTTATTTAACGTAAAATTAAAAAAAAAAAAATCCTGTACCATAACAATCCATGAACGGTCTTGCATAAATATGGGAAATTCGATTCTTTTAAATGAATCGATTCTGAATGATTCAACCATTGTGATGAATCGATTCAAATGAACGATCCTTCGATTGAATCTTTTCATTTTCTTTTTCTTTTCTTTAAATTAAAAATCTGGTGCGCGCAACATTTACTTACCGCTCAACTTTGAATAGAAATTATTTTCTGGCCATGTTGGGTTATTAAACATTTTTTTAATTGCATTTTTAACCGAGCTACAGCTAAACAATTACAGATAACAAATCATATTTACCATTAAAATAGCAAAAGTCCTATTTATTATATCACCGGTTGATTATGGATTGTACCAACGGACCGATTGTAGATTGCACGATCCGTTAATCATGGATTGTACGACTATTAGTTATTAAACTGTTATTTTTTATTGCAACGTTTACTAAAATAGAATTAAGAGATTTGTATTGTCTATAAAGGTGTCGTTTACTTTTAAATATCTTCCAAATAAAATGTCAAATTGTAATAATTAATTCTGAAAATAAATCTTTCAACGAATTTCGATCAATAAAATTTTACCTTTTAAATAGTGGCCCATATGTCTAAAAATATTATACTTATTAAACGAGAGACCAGTATAGTAGAGCGGTAAAGGTTTTTTTCTGTATAGAAAAAAAATTGCTTTCCAACTGTGTTGCTGTCAATTTCTTAGCTTAGAGTTTCATTGCATGTTCTCGAACAGTTGTTTCCAAGTTTTATTCGACCTCGCAGATCATCGACATCAAGGAAAAATCTCAAACGATTGTATTTGTGTTAAAGGCTGAAGTCTCTCTCTACCAAACTTTTAAACCATCGTTGAACGGTTGAACGGTTGAACAGTACTACCGCCCTAAACTTTATTAAAATTTCAAGTCTTTTAGGACCATTTCGACCGAGTTGAAACACGACCGAGTTCATCTGACGTGTTTCAACTCGGTCATTTATATATATATATATGAGAATAAATATTTTTTGATGTACATACCAAAGAATAATTCCTCAAAGGTAAATAGTTCGTTATAAACCGAGTTAATATAAAAGAAACGTGAAATTCTGCATTATTATTAACCAAGCAATCCAGTAAATCACATAGTGATCTCCAAAATAGTGAAACCTGAATCAAATCAGGAAATGAATATATATAATTTCTTCTTCTTAAGTTATTTTGTATTGCTTCAGCTTGCCTGGCCGGCTACACGACCGAGACTGTCATAGACTTGTGCCACGGAAAGCGGCGTTGCTCTCTGGCAGTGGACTCCTCGGTGTTCGGGAAGCCATGTCAGAAGGATTCCAAAGTATACTTGAAGGTTGTCTACACTTGCGGTAAGTCCATTAGATTCTTATCTTTCAAAATCCGTAATATTAGTTTTCTGCGAAGAAGGTTATTTTTACAATTGCTTTGTGTTTTTTGCATGGGGATATGTCTTAAATTTTGATTTCTGTCCATTGCTTGGTGTATTTGTAACACTGGAATATATGTTCTACAATCAAATTAGGATTATCAAATATTTGACATGTTGGTCGATGTGGGCCAAGAAATACGTGGAGCTCGGTTAGATTAGCTAGCTGGATGAATGCGTATTGTATAAATATAAATTACCTAAAGTCTAAACTAAACAAAAAGAAAATTTTAAAACATTCTGTTTCATCAAATTATAACACCTCTCAGAAACTTCGTGAATAGATTCATTTCATCTTAACTTACAAATATTTTATTTACTAAAATTCTCGGAATTCGGGAGCTTTCAATCTGGATATCGGCAAACTTTGTCAAATAAGTACTAAAAACTCGTAAATACGCATTTGCTTTCCACTTGGATTGTAAGATGGTTTAGTCAAAAAATCGCAAAAAAAAAAAAAAAGGTAGCCTACAAAACTATTGAACCTTTTGGCGTGACCTACATCCAAACAATTCAAAGAAACGAGGTGATACTGGCCAAACGGCCTAATATATTTGTAGATCAACTTTTTTTCTCGTTTTTGTGTTGAAATTATCTTATGATACAAGTCGAAAACAAATGTTTTTTTTTACGATTTTTAGTAAGTAATTAAATAGATTATATATGACGATATCCAAATTGAAACGCCTCCAATTCCAAGAGTTTTCATAAATAAAATTATATGTCACGATGGGATAAACCTATTCGCTTAGTTTCAGGTGGATGCTAATAATCTGTTAAAAAGGTGTCTCTACCACGGACTATTGATTATATTTATTGATTAAATATAATAATTTTATCCACGTATTCCTGCACTCATTTTACTTCTGCTTAAAATATTATTGTAGCAAAACTATTATGAACGAAGCGTTAAAAACACAATTATTATTTGTTTCCCCTTATATATTATATAAAAATCGATTTTTTTCTTATGTTGAGATTAATATCGATTCTTATCTAAAAACATTCAATGAATCTGATTGTCCTAAACCGAATATCAATATTTTAAAAGGTGAATGAAATGATATTAGCATATTTTTTTCGCATTAAAAAAAAATACAAACTATAAAAGGTCACGGGGCCGCTGCCGTTTTAACCCTTTTGGAAGATTATAGGGAAAGGTGGTGCTGGATAGAGATTGTGCCAAGGAATTCGGATGATGGGTAAGGTTCTGGTGAAATTCTTTTCATCCAGCTAATGATGGAATATTCTTTTGATGTTAGCTGTTTCGGAGTAAGCCAATATTTTTTTTTTTTTTTTATAATAACAGAAAAAAATATCACTTGACCGTTCAAAACTTTATATCAAGGTGTGTTTTTAGTGGCGAGGCAGGTGTTGCTGGTGAAGCTAGAACAGCCTTCAGAACCTGATGAATCCCCAGATCCAGGAGAACCATGGCCGGATTACGACGAAGAAGAAGAAGCGGCTCCCAACACCAGCGGACACCGCAATAATGACTCAGGCAACCTCTACCATATTGGTTAGTACAATGAATTCATAACAATAAATATGACTATAACAATAATCCAAAATATGAGTTTCGTCTTTTAATTTTTTTTTTACCTTAAACGGTTTTCGATGTTCTTGAAATACTCTACAAGAATTCATTGATTCTAAACTTTGGTGATTTCCGTGGGTTCATTCAGAGAGATTCATTCCGTGGGTCCTCCACAGAATAAGTTTCTATCCACCCAGAAGAATTTGAACTACAGACTCATCTGCTTCCTGATTGGGCAGATTGACATTAGGTGAAAAACAGGAAAGTTGATAATCCAAAATGACTATTGAGAAAAAAAAACTAAGGTGTGTGCTATAAAACACACGGTATAAGAAAAAACATCAATAGCTCACTACACAGAGAATGAAATGATGAACATTTCCCTCGTTTACAGTTTGCAGGTCTGATTTGTAGTTTCTGAGAAATTTTAATCCATATCTTCCATAAAACTCGTTATCATTTGGTTTTCTACACTATTTTTTTTTCCTTTTCGTCTCTCTAACACAGCGTCACGTTAAGGTACAATTTTGTATAATAGCCCATTACGGTGTGGATGAATTGCTTTAAAATTCCCTCGCTTACAGTATTCAGTTCCGATTTTTAGTTTCTATGATATTTTAATCAATATCTTCAATAAAAATCGTTATCATATGCTTTTAGACGCTATTTTTGCCTCTCCAACTCTAACTCATTACAAAGAAGATAAAATTATGAACATTTTCTTTTCTTGCAATATGAAAGTCCCAATTTTAGTTTATGAGATATTTTAATCAAAATACAAAAATATTTCAATTAGTCGACTCCAGCCGACTTTACCCGATCGTTACATATCGGAGATCTGACGGCTCGATCTAAATCGCTCTTCATAAAAAAGTGAAAACGCACCTAAAGAAGTTTCACTTCAATAAAAATACAACAGCATAAAATATAATTACTATTAACAAAACTCCTTAATAATTTTAAATAAATTATCATTTATTATGTGGAGAAAATTGTTTAAAATGATAAAAACGACCTTGGCTTCAAGCAATTTCCCAAATAAACTAATAGAAACGCAATTATAAAGAAAGTGCCAATAAGTATTCTTGAACAAATCAACTTTTATTAAGAATATAATATTAATAATATGTAATTGAACTAATAAACAAGAGGAATTACATTTTAATTATAAGTTAAAATGACTGCCACTGATAAATACACTTAATAATAATATTTTAACAATAATTTGTAAAATGATTTTTTCCTTAGATTTTATGCCAACTTATCCCTCGGATGAAGAGGACAAATCAACAGGTAACTTGTTGAAAGTTATATATTCACCCTCAAAACATTGCATGAAGTAGTTAAATAATATGCTCTATTTATTTTTTCAATAACTTTATTTAAAATATAATTAGTGCATGATAAAATTCATGATGCAAGTTGAATTAATATATTCTATAGACATTTATTTCTACCAATGCACGTTGTGAAATATAAGAGGGAAGAAAATAACTTAATGGTTTATGCACTCTTAAATCATCAACTGCAACAACATTTATTTATATATTTTACAATTATTTTCTTTTATATACCCTCCATAATTTTATTGTAACTAGCTTGTGGTTGTGATTATCTTACACATATTAGTGGTGCGATTTCTATTGAGTAGAGGAGAGGAAATCTGTTTTATGAATTCACAAAAAAATTATTTAAAAAACACATAAAATACACAAGGAAACTAAATTAAATTCATTAAAGTAAATGTAATGCAAAAGAAAGGATTGCATATATTAAAATTAATAAATAATATATAAAAAATGGGCGTGGAAGAGTTTGCTACTATTTATATTTTAATAATTTGTAAATTCGTTAAATTATTAAATAAGTAAATAGCATTATTTGTTTAGGAGTATATGTTTAGATCGTTTGGATGAATTCCATTCTTGCAATTTCTTGTCCTAGTTTTGTATTGTTTTGACCTTGAGGTTTTCAGACGCTGATGTAAATTAAAAAAATATATTCATGCTCGGTACTCGTTACCTCTTACACTGAGCACTCGACTTCTTGGCACGCCATTCTTCCTGCTTTCTCTAATCCTTAACTACGACGCACTTTTTAACCAATCTAACACTCCTTGCTTATTACTAACAGAAGCACTGAAGATAAGCTGAAACTAACGGCGTTGGAAAATTTACTAACATGGGATTGTAAGTGATTGATGAATTGCTAGTGATTCATTGCGCAGGTAAAGTGTCCAGGGAAGTCCACTTGAGGCTGCAGATCCTTCCTGAACAGGACGTCGTAAACTGTACAGTCAACATCTACACCGACGGCCGCAGGTCGGTCATCGGCTTCGTTTCCGAATGGATATCGGTGTATCAGTTTCTGTCAAGTAAGTCCATCATGTGGTGTTATACATTTCATGGTTCTTCTCTAGAGGTATTTCAAAAAGCTTCGGACCACCCATCAATATGTAATGTGTTTTATTTAGTGGAATATTAACTTTAATGGAATATAAAAATATACACACTTGTCTATACAAAACAGTCAGGACCATAACTAAAGCTCCATGGTACGTCACAAACATTACATTACATAAAGGCCTTCAAATACCAACAGTTAACGATCACATACGGACAAACTACAAGCGATTTCACAATAACATACATGGACGTACTAACGTACTTATACAAAGTATGGCTACATTTACCATGCCCGAAAACACACTTAGGAGGCTCAAAAGGAGCTGGATGAGGTATTTCCTCTCTTAAAAAGATGCTAAAATCAAGATAGGAAGAGATCCCGCTGGGCATTCCTCTCCATCACGCCGATCAAGCCACTACCTGTGCTCTTACCAACAGCAGACCCGCTAATCGCCATTGCTTATGACAGGTGTTGATAAAGAAATAAAGCTAAAAAAAAAAAAAGTGGAATATTATATAAAATAGTGAAGAAATGGCTGACTTTAGACAATTTGGTTGGAAAGTATATTGGCAGGTGCAGTTGCAACACACATTTTTTTTTTCACACGAAAGGAAAATAAATATTGAAAAAAAGAAAAACAATAAATAACATAAAGGGGGTTAATATACAAAAAATGAAATAATAAATTTGGGCCTTCAGTAATTTATTTTCTTATCCTCTATAATTTTATTGTTGTTGTTATTTAAGGCTTAGAGGCGTAAATACCCGAAATCATCAACGCTTGTATAATTTTATTGTAACTGAAATTCAGTCATGGGACAACATCTATAAAATCACTAATAAAATTAATCAAATCATCGAGTTTTTCGTTTTCAAATCAATACTAAATTCTTTGATACCTACTGATGTGTAATCTTTCACAAAATTCATATTAAAAATAAATCATCAAGTGTTGCAAATTCATACCTCCCCATTATAAACTTCATGGCCCACATAAACTCATTAGTTGCTAACTTTGCTTCCAATCGATACCCGATAAACCTCCCAGGAGTGTGAAAGGGAAATGTACGGATCCTGAGAGTGTATTATATTTCATGATATTTTAGGAACTTTTTGAAGCCGTCTTATGTTACACATCTTAAACATGTTCTAATCTCTAGTTACTTGCATATTTTGTTATTTTTTAAACGATTTCTTATTAGATTTGAAGATTTTGCGTTTATTTTATTGTTTTGCTTTTTTATGTTCCGTTACATATTGTAGCCATTTTCAAAAATACAATGATGCCCCTCGATGTAGATAGTCAGCTAGGGATTATCATTCAGTTTAAAGATCCAAGGAGTACTTATGTTACAGTATGTTATATAAAAATCATATTTAATTGTAATTATAAATTATACTACTGAATAAGTAAGAATAAAGAGAGCGGTGGCGTTAAATAATTATCATTATAATAAATGTTCTGACTTGCCATCACAATCTGCTCCAATTTCCAAGTTTAGTTGCCGGCATAATGATTTATACTCTTATCTTTTTCTATTTCAATTATCCTTAGCTAACATATTTTTCTTGACTACCATCATTAAGAAAACGAACGATCTGACCAGGGAATCTTTTGGAGATAACGACCTCAGATGTTTATTTATCTATCATAATTACCTTTTTAGTCATTCCATACTTTATATAAAACCCTTGCCTATCCACTTCCACATCTCTTTTAAAATCTGAAATAATAATTTATCAACACCTATCTTGGAATAATCATGCGAAAATTCATATCAATCCTTAAAAAATTCTAAATTTCTATTACTTCTAAGCGTTTATTTTTTGTTATCCTTAATGACTGAATAGCTACCTCAATCTTTTCACTCCATCTTCTTCCTTTCTACCTAATCCTAAACCATAATCACAAGAGATTACGTGTTCCAGAGTAAAATTTAACTTTCATTCATTCGTTCATTAAATCATCATTCATTTGTTCAATAATTAATTCGTTATTAATATGAATTCGAAATGATTAATTATTTTTCATCAACACAATAATTATTGTTTTTGAATTTTTTATGAAAATATATCGTGATAATTATATTATTCAATAAAAAATAACTATTTTTTTCATTTACCAATGATTACTTCTAGTTTAAAACAATTGAATTTATTTGTTGTAATATCAAAATTGCATGTTTACAAGTTTCGTTTCGGGATATTTACTCCCATCTTCAGAACCATAATTGAAATGATCTTGTGGATACATGTCTTAAATCTAATGTGCTCCTCAGTTTCTATTTCATATTACAATAAATCTAGTTATATAACATCTTTTAACATCTAACCTAACTTGTAACTTGTAAACTTGTAAACATACAATTTTGATAATATAACAAATAAATTAAATTGTTGTTAATTATAAGTAATCATTGCCAAATAAGAAAGTATATCATAAAACTTCCCAGAAAAAATAAAAAAATAACTAGATAATACGTTTTTAGTTACTAAATTTTCTAACAAATTTCTTAAGGGAATATTTTAAAAAATCCCTACAAATTCACGATCGCTTCATATTTTTATTTATATAGCTTCCTTTAATTTTACAGAAAAATATTCCATATCAGTAATTTAACATTAGATAGGACCAAACACATTGGTTTGTGAGAAATATATTTAAATTTCATCTTAACCTTTGATAATGTCTGTGAGGGACAGATCGTTTAACCATAGTCTTCTTGTCTCAAGTTATTGTACCATGATTAGACAACATAATATAACTTCAACTCCCAGCCATTTGGCCTCCAGTAGAGTGGAATTATAACAGCATACAATTTACTTATACTTTAATAATATATATTTTAATTACCGATATTTGTTATAAGTCTTCTGTTTACTTCACTACACCAATTTCATCTAAACGTTAATATTTGAGGAAATAATCATTGTTCCAGATAACAAGGAACGATTGAGCCTCTACCTGGCAGTGTCCATCGGTGGCGGCTTGGTCTGCATCCTTAGCCTCCTTGCCATCAGGCTGGCCTGGAGCAGTCGGAAGAGATCACGTTCCCAGCAGCCGGTTCCTCCGTTCGTCGGGGAGCTCTACGAAGGAGAAACCGATCTGGGTATAGCAACACCACTTCCTCCGGATCCAAGTGAGGTAATGCCATTAACACTTTATAATGTATCGACAAACTGTTATAAATCATTACAATAATTTAATGTAATTGTATATAAATGGTGTGCCAGGCCCCTATTCCGTGCACACTCTCTCCAAATCTCTATAAATGTTATATCGTTGTGTTCTCTGTAACTATTGATTAGAGAAAAGCCAATATTCCAGCAAAACGTGTGACCGCAGTGCCCTAAAATTGTGTCCACACATGGCGAAGCGTATACTTGATTTGAGTTAGATTTTTGGTCACTGGGAATCAGCATTTTGCCTGATTTAGTCATAATTAGCATTTTATTAAAGCTGATATTAATTGAATAATACAGTATGAAAATAAAATAATTCGCTTATGAAATAAGGTTTAGACGAAACAACAGTAAAGTAAATAAAAAAAAAACACAGTTGAAAATCAAGCCTCGTTTGTGATTAATCTATCAATAATAAATACAAATCCTCTGAAATAAAACATCTAGAGAATACCGCTTTCATTTTAAAACACTGATTATTTTAAAAATATTTGAAGGGTTACTTTAGAAAATTGAATTAATCGGTGGAAAAGCGGTTCTGGCTTAGGTACCGACACGTTTCTGCCACCTCATTCAGTACTCATAAAAATGGCATAGATTTAGTAATCACGTTTTTGGTTTATTATTTTGATTGTATTAATTAAAAAATATTAATGCGATAATTTATTAGTCTGAAAAAATTATACAATATTTTATTTTATTTTTTATTATTCTATTTTGATTATTTCGTTTATTTTTTAGGCTGGACGTTTGAGAAAGACTCTAATGAATAAAGACATAATTATAATAATAAAACATAATTCAAATATACTTCGGTGAATATCTTGAATTTTTAATTTAAAGTTTCCAATTTAACACTTGTTTTTTTGTATATTTACTGATTCTTAGATTACGTTCAATAGCACGTATTATCCCGGAAATGAGCCATGTTAATACCTATTATATAAACTAAAATGAAAATGAAGTTTGTTTTAAGCAGGTAATAATGACTTTTTAAAAAAAAATTGAAAATTATTTTTATAGAATTAGAAGACGCGTTTTAAATTAAGTAATCCAACAACTTTATAGAAGTAAAGAATATCAAAATATTAATAAAATAATAAACTAGATATGGAAAAAACAATAAAAACATATATTGATATAAAATGTAATTTTCCATTCTTTTTACTCCATGTTTTTAATTTTCACTATAAAAATATGCCTAGACGTGGAATCCTAAATTTAGGATAACTTTGTTAAGCCTAGTGCTGATATGTATTTTTTTCATTTCCACTTAGCTTTAGTTTTTATGCCAACGAACTACGAATAAAATTTTATGAATCACATGATGTGTAAATTTACATTAAAATTAAAATGTGTGAATTTCTTATGAACAGGTTTTCTAAAGAGGAAATTAAAATTACGGCCACGTGACCCCGCATCATTCAATATTAAAAAAAAAAAAAAACTGTTGAACTTACTATTCTATAGTTGTATTCGCAATCGTAAGTAGTTCTATAATAGATAATGTTCATTATTCTCACGAGCTAACTAATAATTATTAATAACATAACATTTTTTTTTTCATGAACTCCTTACATGATGACCTTGAAATATCATTTATCTTCGGCATTATTCCACCCAAATCCTCAAATTTTCATGAGAATTTTATCCACTTCCCCAATCCTTTAGCAATACTCCATTATAATTTCTTCCATCCCATCAATCCTGCCCAAAGATCAAAACGATAATTGCTCCGAGGGTTTTGTGAATGTATAAACACAGTTCTGCCGATGTCTAATCCCTTACAAGAGGAGGCGACAGTCAATTGGTCATCGATTTCATATATTTAAAAAAATCTTGAATACCAATTTTTATTGCAATTGAAAAATAAATTTGTTTTACCTTTAGTACCCTCCAAAGTTTTGTTCACGACTTCAAAAATTTTGATAACATTAGGATGACCACTCCAATTAACACAAAAAATTATTATAGATTTAGATCTCTATATACTCTACTGTTTATTACTATAAAAAACGTATATAACATATAAAAAATAAAAACGAAATCGATTGGTTTATGTCACTGAAACGCCGGCACATTTTTATAACATCTATCGATGTATTCGCTGACTGTAAACTCCTCTTGTTTGTGACAACTTTTTTCTTAGTTATTAATTTACTAGGTCATTGTTTAATTTTCATCGTGATTGATTTATATAACATTAAAAATTTTAGTTAGTGTGATGTTTTTTACTATACAAATTGATTTAGATTTAATATTGGATTAATAATTAACTGTCGTGAATATATTAGAGAGGAGTTGGTTGGGATGTTCTGTCACAAGTAACAAAGAAAAAATAAATAAATTATGGTGTATTGAGACTTTTGTAAGGAGAACAGCCCTAATTAAGGCCGAAACGTCATCAAAAATAAAAGTAAATATGATTTATTTATTTTTATTTTGTTACTTGTGACTCAACACCCCAACCAACTCTTCATTTATATTTTTACTATAACGATTATTATGTATATTTTTTTTGTTTTTTCTTTACTTAAATCTGTGCATGTGGAGTGATTTAATACGTAAAACACTAATACTAAGTTTCCTTGAGTATTATTTTTTTTTAGATTGTATTATTTTACTGTTTTCTTCAATAAAAACAAAATTACTTACCGTTTATTGGACTCACGTAAAAAAAATAATAATAATAACAACGTTACAACCAACAAAATTCTAGAAATTATTTTCTTTAAATTAGTCTATGGATGCGAAATGTGTCTTTGTCATCTCGCATTCCCGGAACAAAACAGTCATTCAACGGAATAATAATTTTTGTTTTTCAACCAAACGAGCATTTTATATTATCTTAGTTTGAAAAAGTTCTAAATTTAAATTGAGATCATTTACTCCCTATTTTATGTTTTTTTTTTATTCATTTAATTAAAAAAAATAAATACAATATGTAAAAAGCTTTTAGAAAAAAGTGAAAGCCAATGAAAAGGGGTGAAAGCTATTAAAAGGCATCAAAGTTTAGAATATATCCTTAGTATAAATATTAGTATGTAAAAGTGCAGATTGTTCAAGATGCAACGATATTGGACGCAGTTGAAACAACAATCGACACAATTGGCGAGCTTGCCTCTTCCATTCATTTCCCAGCCTTCCCAAAGGTCCCATTCGGGTCTCTCTTTCAACATCAACATTCCCTATTTCTATTTCTATTCTTTTGGAATATATATCTTATACACACGATATATATGTGTATATACACACGCTGTACCGAAACTATTACAACGAACTGTGCAGGCGAAACAACAATCCTAACAAGACATACTACACATACCTCACAGAATTTAAAACATCATCTAACCAAACTAAATGATTGGTGCAAACATTGGAAAATTTGACTCAACCATGTGAAATATCAACACAATTTTCACTCTGAGACATAAAACATGCCCTCCAATTCACCTCTACAATGCCCAAATTCTTCAAACAGACAATATCTGAAATATCTTGGACTGATATTTGACAGATGAATGACATAGGGCTCTGGCCCGGAAAAAATCAGTATAGCCCAAAAGGCGATAAAGAAGAGGACAAAACAAAACCACACTTTTACTGTCTCCGACAGCAAAATCCACTTATTGTCAGTATTTTTGACAGGTGTAGATTAAGAGAGTGGTGGTGTGGTTGAGCAAGTTATGCGTGTGCACAGATCCGCGGGTTGCTCAGCAATCCGGATCAAAAATAATTAGATAAAATACTTACGAGTTAGTGTTTCGGTGCCCCCGGGAGAAACCGGATTTATAACTCTGGAATTAATCCCACGCTCTCACCTTCCGACCAGTGAACAGCCCTTATATCCTAAAAGGAGAAGAAGAGGAGGACCCTAAAAAAAATTGTGGGTGAAGAAATTGAATTATAAAAAAATAATAATAATAATTTATTTATTTTTAAATATTTTGTCAAATGATGCTTATACAATAGCGATTAATTCATTATAATACATCCAAGGACAATATAAAAAAAGAGATAATGGCTTGTAATAGTTCATTGTAATTATTATTAGTGTATTTTACAATATTGTTTTGAGAACAAAGAATTTCACATCAAACAATTTCTTTTTACTAAACTGGAAGCAAATCTCAGCTGATTTTGTATTAATAATTAACATTGACTGTGAGAAATTTACGGTTTAGTAAGATGATGTATTGTATATAGGTATGTATGTGTTCTTTTTATTTATTTATTTTTAGGTTATTTTATTCTTATTTATTGTATATATGTTATTTATCTGTATAATTTATTTTATTTACTGTACATAGAGTGTGAATGTGATCTGTGAACACTATTATAAATGTCCTTGAGACAGATTGTAATATTTTTCAATAAAAAAAAAAAAAAAAAAAAAAGGTAAGATGATGAAAAAAAAATAGTGAATAAATATGAGACCTGTAAAACGTTAAATAAAAAACACATGCACAAACAATATCAAATAAAATTACTCAATTAATTAAAGATGTTAAGATAAGTAAATAAAAAAATCCCTTTCTAAATTTTAACAATTTATTGAATAAAAAAAGTGATACAAATTTATACTAAAGTTGAAATAAACAATACTGGAAAGCTACGAGAAAAATAAAACATGCAGAGGAAATAAAAACAAATTAACTATTAATAACAATATATAAATAAACTCAACTTCAAAAATTATAGATAAAACAAAACTAATTTATAGGTGAAACGAATATTAAATTAATGTTCAAATGTCTTTGGTAACGGTGAGAATAAAAAAAAAACGAGCCAAGTTGGAGGTTCTGCTTCCAACCTGGTTACCTTATACGATGTTTCACAGTCAAGTAATCGATGATGGGGTGGTATCGATATCTATATCGATTCGATCGATGACTCAGCTTCGTCCAACAGCTGTTATAAAAAAATGGCGCTCGGCTGTTGGCAGGTGTGATGAGGTGAATCTGGACTTGGTGGGGGTAGACTTCCACTACATGGATCTAGTGTCAACAAAGGCTAGCTCCAGACTGACTTTAGACCGCAGAAGTTTTAACGCAGTATTTGTGTCTTAATCCCTAAGACAGGGTATTACTGCTGGGCTGGAGCGCATACACAAACTCGATAACACATCGCAAACGAAGCCAAATATACAAATAATATAAACTTAAATACATTTTAGGAACAATATCCCTCGGTCTATTACAAAAAAAAAAAAAAAAAAACATTTATACCATTTACACTCAAAGAGGGTAAAAATAGTGAGACAAAATAATAATAAAAAATAAAGATACGAGTGTATGCTGCGTTAACACATGCTGTAGAACATTTTATTTTTTGTCATACATATTTATATACCACCTTAAATATACACCCCTCTTTTATCTCTAAAATTCTCCATGTGAATCTTCCAGTGTCTAAAACAATGTTGGAAGTATTCTTCAGTCAGCTCCTTCAGGACGAATGCCACTTTTTCTTTCACATCATCAACAGACATCTTGTTTTTTTAAATGCAAATTGAAGAATCGTGATTTTTTACTTATGATTCTGAAACGAAGCTCCAATCCACTCAACTTCTCCTGCACCTTCACTAGGTCCTTGAAGGTACAAATATTTATCAATATAATTACATTCACGTTCTTGCTGAAAGAGAAAGCGAAACATCTCATGAAGAAGCTGACAGAAGAAAACTTTCAAGACTGTTTAAGACAATTGAAGAATCGCAAGGAGCGTTGTTGGAACAGAGGAGTGTTGTATATTGATGGTAATATAATATATAGCGTGAATATATCTATGAAATAAAAATAAACCCTCATACCAGACTGAAACGACTAGAAACCGCTCGCCGTTTTCGACTACTGCAGCACTTAACTAGACAAACGCTCTTAACTTCCAACTATTTACAAAAGACTCATAAATGTTACTATAATAAGGCCTATTTGAACTTACGGGATCGAGCTTTGGGGCTCCACTAAACCATCAAATTCCTCTCGTACCCAATCCCTACAATCCAAAACCCTCAATGCTCTCTACTTTGTCACAAATAAAATCATCTATAGCGACCTTAATGTACCATATTTTTCCGATTTAGCTCATTCCAGATACCTGTCCTTCCTTTGTAACCATCTCTTCTATTCCTGATAACCCTCCGAGGCATCTGAAAAGAAGATGGCCCATAATATAGAAATACAATTAGAGTGCTACCAATAGGTAGTTTCTCTTTATGTTATACATGTCATGTGACTTGTTTCATATTTACTTGTTGTATTTATCATTTATACAGTTGTAAATTTCAATAAAAAAATTTTTATATATGTTTCCTTATTATATAATTATTTTTATTATTCCTTTCAGGTGGTGCGGTACGCTTCGGGCAACTCGCAGTATTACTATGGGTGACAATCGCCCAGGTGCGAGGACCATTCTCGCACCTATTGCTTTTAAACATGGACTTCATTGTCAAAACACTCCAAAGTGCCTAATGATCTACGTCTTAAAATACGAATTGGTGTGCTACCGTGTATTGGCTCAACGATTTTTAAAATCACTTTCAAAATCTTGGAGGTTCACACATATTTGAAAATATTTCAGACAAATATTGCAAACAAATGTTAACTTTTTCTCAATTTTCAATGGAAAACAGAAAGTTGATAGTCCCATCGAGTCGGGAAAATCATGGCCCATTAAATAATTATAACAAAAAAAAACTGACTGTTCAGCAGTCGCCTTTGAAAGTTCTAATTATTTTAAATCACTTAATATTTTTTTTAAAACACTGTAAATAAATTCGGACCATAACTATAATAACCTTACATAAAATTAAATTATTTCGAATTCATCAAAAGAAATTTTTTTACTGGGCCTCAATTAATTATATTTTTTTAGCCATTAACGGACTAGTGTTTCCTTTCTTCATCACTATATTTCTAATAAAAATAGTTGACATTTTTTTTTTTTATAACGTAATATTTATTTTCTATTTATAAATTAATTTATTAATCATATTTTCAGGATTGTCGAATGCTATTTTTTATTTATTTTTTCAATAATAAACATTATTCTTGATTAAAAAGTTGTGAAATAAATAATTAATATACTTTAATTACACTAAAATTCAATGAAACAAAAAATAAAGTTTAAGTGGTATAGATTAAAAAACTAAATTTATTAAGCAGAAAATTGTTAAAATGAAAAAGAATGTATTAAAAAAATAAAATCTTGTAAATATTATAAATATTCTATATAAATATTTGAATAGATGTGAATAATATTTATGCATTATATATTTATGTGAATTGTTAAATTTTTAAATAAAATTATAAAATACTTAAAATTTGTCCTCTTTCCTTTTTATTTTTGTTTTCTTAGAGGTGCTTGTTTTATCATTACAAAAAATGACTGCATGAAGTTTAACTTATTTAATTTCTTATAGCTTACGTTTTACGATAGGTAACTTGAGATCACACCTAATGTTTACATACCACAGGTTATAAAACATAATTTAAAAAATCATAATCACCAGCATGGATATTAATTTCTAGATGTAAATACTCATTGTTTTTCTGCAGAACATTTCAGAGGAATTGGTTTGTACCTGTCATCAAAACAGAATGGAAATTCCAACACAATAAATTTATGGTGCTATCAGGTACAGAGATAAACATTTTTATCATGTACAGGCTTTAATGAATTTTCCCGCTACAACAATGAACGATAAATAAATTAATATTTCATCAAGTAAAGGATAAATTGAATTTTTAACAATTATATTAGTTTAAGACCAAATAATGTCAAGATTGTGAACACATCTCCTTATATCCTTATATAAACATTTGGAAAATGCTTAGACCTTCAAGTGAAATTATGGAAATCTTGAAAGTTAATAACACTTAAAGGCGCTCTCACTCAATCTCCACTGGGTTTACCTCCAGTTACGCGGTTCAGAGTAGTGCAGGGATCTCCTGGATTCATTTTTACGTCATGGTCAGCGAAAAAAATATATATTTATTACAATATCAATTATTAATAAAAAAAATTCTATTGAAATTATAATTTGGTCGTCTGAAGAGTCGGACGATTGATTATTCACCTTTAAAAGCACATACTAAACTTACATCGACAATAGAAGATTGTAATAATCGGATATAAATAGAAGATGCAGGAGGCACGTGTATCCTTGGTGTGAAAGCTCTTTTATCAAGATGCAAGACGCACATGCTTCTTCAGTGCGAAATGGGCCTTAATCGAACGAGAAACTGCTAGGAAGTATACAAGCCCAGTAAAATTATACATGTTAACTTGCAAAAGGTCGGGTAATTGAAATTTCTTTTTTATATTGTTAGGTATATAGTGAATAAAAGAAATCCAAGTTTCCAACCTTCAATGTGGGTTCGCTGCAGTGCTCCAACCACCACTGAAATTTCGAACTTGTTTTGGTTTACGCTAAATGTCTTAGTTTTAGAGCAACTTAGATAAAAAATGGTTATATTAAATCTTAAACAGCTTCAAACTATCAAACTAACAATTTAGTACATGACGTTTTTTTCAAAACCCAACAGAAAGCGAACTATCGAGCTTTCAAAATTTACACATTACGACTTCATCACAATAGTGCTTTTTCAGTTTTCGAGAGAAGAAAACTTCATTTTGAACCGCGTTCAGAGAATTTGGAGGTTTTCCTCGAAGATAGTAAGCCATTGGCTAGAACGGTAGACAGTAGACGGGAGGTGTTTTGAATAATATGTTACACGGTGGGCCGGACTCCCCTAACGTGCACTCCCCCTCCCCTTTCGCATCCTAATAATTTGCATTTAGTTTTGTAACTATTTATTAAAAAAACAAAACAATGTACCCACAAAATGAAGTGGCCGCACTGACCCAAAATTGCGATCAAATAGAGCAGATTGACTTCTTTGACTTGATTTAGTTTTTCAGTCACTGAGATTCATCATTTGGCTTAATTCAGCCATAATTGGCCTTTTATCAAAGCTGGATAGTTAGAAAATAATAAAGCTTGAAAAAATATATTTTTTTTTAAACCTTAAATATTTTGAAAGCTTGATTGTTCGCTTTATGTTGGGTTTAGAAAAAAAATGTAATGTACAATAATTTTAAGTTGTTTAAGATTTATTATAACCATTGTTTATCCATGTCGCTTTAAAATTGAGATATATAGCGTAAACCAAAAAAAAGTTCGAAATTTCAATGGTTTATGAAGCATTACAGTTAATCCCCAAGGCTTTCAAGGGTGGAAACATAGATTTTTTATAGTCACAGCATACCTAACAATATAAAAAAGAAATTTGAATTACCAGACTCTTTGCAACCTAGACAGACCTATTTCTTTGTGCTAATGTGGCTGGGCTATACGCTGGGTTCCTCTTCAGACATAGCCATGGGCTTTTATTCTGTGTGGCTTCCTTTATGAGAATCCTCTCAAGTGACTCATCTTTTTAAATATTTTATAAGATAATGATGCTCTTTTAGTAAGTCTCTCTATCTTTATTTACAGTAAACGTTTCGACCTTCAGAAATATCGATATAAAAATTATTCTCTAAGAATTTTTTGAACGGAACTAATATTTTTAATGAACGCCTCCATTTGATACATTCATTTCATTTAACATTTGCTGTCCTGAAGGCTACATGCCTTTCCATTCTATGCACGTTGCCCAGTCTTCTTCTCCTTTTTATGGTAGATATATTATCTGCGGCAATATATGTATTCTTCATTGATTGATTCATTCAGCTCTTAGTCTTAATCTGATTTTTCTTTCTCACTTCTTCAATAGCCTCTATTCGTGGAGTGTGAGTGCCCAGGACTCGTTCCTATACGTAACAACACATTGTAGGACCGTCTTGAATACTCTTATTTTGACAACTCTTGGTATATCTAAATTTAAAAAAAAAATCATCAAGGATTATTAGTGCATCTTTTCATCTGTTGTCCTTACCTTTATTTCTTCTCTTATATCATTATCCTCTGTGATAATATAGCCAATTTACTGAAGTTTGAGTACTATTTCGAAGCGATACCCAGTCCCTTCCATATATCTAGGGTCTCTCATACAACCTTGTTGTTAGTATGAATTTAGTTTTTCATTACTTATAATAAATTCTGCTTTTCTTGCAGCTACTTCACAATCCTATAAGGATAGTGCATTGTATGTCATTCCTGTAATGTCATAATCCGCAAACGCTGAGATTTGTATCAATCTGTGATTTATACACCCTCCTGAACTTCTGCGAATCGATCTCATGGCTACTTTTCTTGGGTTGTCTGGAAAATAATACAAGATTTTGAGTTTCGTTTAAAATACCCCTCTATATAACAAACTATTTACGTTTACTGGATTATTCATTTCTATGAATGTCAACACTTATTAATCCAATAATTTTTGTTTACATCTGTAACCTTTCGCTGCTTAGACATAATCCAGTCTTTACTAAGATGTCAACGTGTGATTTTCGTATAATTTCGTTTTACGAGTTTAAACTGGGCCGGAATTGAGGACAGAAGGCCAGAATCATCAATCAAGTTTGGGATGAGAGCAGCATTGATGAGTGACCCGTTCTACGGTGGTTCAAAAAATTTTGGGGTGGTGAAAGGAATCCCTTTCTGGATGATGATGTTCTGCGGGTTTTGGTGGAAGATAACCCCAGAACAACTGTTCGAGAACTTCCAGGTAAACTTAACCTTTGTAAATCACCCGCCGATGACCACTTCAAGACGATTAAGAGGTAAAAACGCTTGATAGTTAGGTTTCACACACATTAAAGGACCGCCAAAAATCCGGCGTTATGAAGTTTGTGCTGCACTTCTTTGTCGAAAAAAAAACATACCCTTTTCTGTCCAAAATTGTTACTTGTGAGGAAAAGTGGATACTTTACGATAACAGTAGAAGTTTTGGACAGTGGCTCAACAAAGGTGAAGCAACAGAATATTTTACAAAGCCCTCAACTCACAAAAAAAAGTTATTTGGTTTGGTCGGCTTCATTTAGTTTGATAACTACACCTTCTTAAATCCTGGAGAAACCATCAATGCCAAATCGTATTGTAACCAAATTAATACAATGCATCAGAAATTGGAAATGATGAAGCCATCTTTGGTTAATCGAATGAGGCCTATTTTGTTGCATGACTCAGCTCGGCCACATGTCTCACTTATGACGTCTCAAAACCTATTAGGGCTTGGATATGAAACTCTATCACGTCCGCCATACTCTCCAGACCTCTCGCCTACCAATTATCATTTATTTAGACACCTGGACATCTACTTAAATGACGAAAAATTTAATGGCCAAAGGAAATTAGAATATGCATTTTTGGGTTTTATCAATTCTAAAGATGGGAAATTCTATTCCAAAGGAATGGAAAAGTTGCCAACACGTTGGAAGTA